TTTATTTGGAGTCATATAATGCCGAAAGTACCTGTACGAAGGGGAGATAACACAAATTTATGAGAACATCCTTAACGTGACTCCATGAGACTTGCTTTCAAACTATCTTCTTATATTCATATTATTGTTGAATTGTATTTATTATTTTATTATGTTATTTGATAAATATCTATACAAAAATCATCCATTTTTTCGAACAATCTGGAGTCATGTTGTGATTTGTGTGTGTAGCTTCATAGTTCCTCAATTGGGTGAGTAATTATTTCAATCTAGAGAATTAAAATTTCTGTCTTATATCTAGAAAATTATTAGCTCGTGTTCTGCATGGAAATTCTCTTGCTTGCTAAACTCACAAAATGAATAGTCTTATATGCGTGCTATCCATATTTGAATGTCAGATAATTGCTTGAACGCCTTAAATATACGAAATTGTCAATTGAGAGGATTCCAGTATAAATAAAAAAAATTACATTTACATCAGAAATTACTTTGTTATTCCACGAAAAAAAAAAAAAGCTCATAGTTCTGCAGGACATGCTCTCAGGCCCTGTTTGATTTGTTTTTCTTTTCCATGAAAAATGGAAATTAAATTCCATTTCCACATTTTTACATGTTTGATTGGTTAAATTTTTCATGGAATTGATTTTCCACATTTTCTTGTTTTTTGAGGAGAAGTTTTTCCTATAGGTTTGGTGGGAAAAGCTTTTCTAGCCAATATTTTTTTTTTTGGCAATGGAAGCAAATTCTATTCTCAATTGTAACAAATTCTATTCCTTTAATGGACAATTTACATGGAAAACAAAACTAAACGAACACCAAAAGATCCAAAAGTTTAATATTTTCAGGTGGAAAATTATACCAATAACACAATTAATTGACAATACTCAATAAAACAAGTTATATGCAATTCAATTCCCTGAAATTCATTTTTTTTTCCCACCCAATTCCATTTTTACAATCAAACGGACCCTAAGCAATTTTTGATTTTACGTATGCAATGTATAGGATAAATAAACTCTTTAAAAATGGTTAAAATGGCTTTGGCTTTTAAGTAGCTTCGAAAATATTTGTAGTTTAGTGATGCTCGGATTTGACAATTTGGCTGTCATACTCAAGTTGACACGATAAGATATAGGTATGTGTATGAAATATGGAGCGTTTTAAACGGGCATGACAATTGTAATTTATTATGTCTTTTTTTTAACTTTTATTTTAATTTTATGCTTTGTCATGTAAATTTATGTTGTCTTTGGTGTTTTAGACTTTTAGACCTTATTTGATTCTTATTTTTTTCAATATATATATTTGTCAATAAAATAATATTACGCAAAACCCAAAAACTTTTCTTTCATTTTTAACTACACGTTATTCATCAATCTACTATTCCAAAATACATTCTACATTAAAATGAGGCTTAAACAGGCCTTAGTATAAATTTGGGAAAATTGCAGCGGAGGTCCCAAACTTTTTATTTTGTTGTAGAATATACCTTAACATTTCATCTTTGTGATCGCAGTCCCAAACCTTTTACTTTAATAGCAACTGGAGTCCATTGGACGGATTCCATCTAGAATCCCGTTAGTCAACACTGAAATTGAAATTTTAACTCAAATTGACATATTAAATGGGGGGTAAAATGATCAATTTATATTTCTATAATTAAATCAAAAAATTCATCTTCTCCAAACCCCACCCCACCTTCCCTCTCCACCCTTACCATGAAACCCGATGAAAATCAACCCATCTGATAACCATGGATTATCACTATTCGATAGAGTCTGTGTTTGTAGCCATTTAATTGCACTGAGTGCATCATCCATGGCTCTCGGAAGGAGGTGCTTCGGCTCTAGGCGATAGTCGATCGAGTAACCATCGTGGGTAGTGTAGAAGAGAGCCGGAGGCAGCTGTTATTACAGCTTGGCCACCAATCCAAAACCCACTGCCACTTACTTCGCCACCCAAATGAATCGCACTCCACTTCGATCAAGCCTATTTGCCAACGCCTTATTCTTGAGAACATTTTGAATCCCAAAGCACTCCCCAAGAATGTAGTGAGGAAGCATACAAAGCAGTTTCACCAATTAGTTCTGATTTTTTTTCCAGATTTTCTATATTTGGCGTTGATGCTAGACAATGAGTAAGAAAAGCATAATTCTTTGATTGGGGGTGGTGTTGATGATGGATAGTTGTGGTTTTGAGGGAAATTTTGATTGAGGGTGGTGTTGACGGAGGGCATTGGAGGCTTTCAACAAGCAAAATAGAATTATTTGATTGAGGACAGTGGTTGCGCGGTGTTGATGTGACAACAATGGTTGGTGTTGGTTGTAATAATTCAGTGAGTTCTAGTTTTTTATTTTGGAATTCGAAGTGGGGTGTGGTGATTTCCAGAAGAAGAAGTTCATTTTTTTGTTATTTAGTTATTTTATTATAGGAATACAAATTGACCATTTTACCCCTCAATTAATCTTTCAATTTGAGTGAGTCAAAATTTCAATTTTAGTGTTGACTAACAGGATTCTGGATAAAATTCATCCAATGGACTCCGGCTGCCATT